TAGTGACTAAACTGCAAAATAATATTCAGTTCTGGAGATCCCTGCCTATTTCTTTAATAGGAAGGGTTAATATTATTAAAATGATCTTTCTCCCACAAATTCTTTATCTTTTTCAAAACATCCCAATATTTTTACCAAAGCTTTTTTTTAAACAACTAGATTCCATTATTATACCCCTTTTGTGGTATTACAAAGCCCATAGAATAAGTTAAGCACACCTTTGTAAATCTAAAGCTGTCGGTGGAATGGCACTTCCAAATTTTGCCCTTTACTACTATGCTTGTGCTCTTCAGACTATCATAATGTGGCTAGACCATACTGTAGCACACTCAACTTGGATCCAAATAGAAAGAGAGGTATGTAGACCATATGATATTGGTACAGTCATACTGTCTCCTATAAAGATAGATAAGTCAGTATATAGCCATAACTGTATAATTCATAGTACAATTCGTATTTGGAAGCAGATCAAATCAAAATCTGAAATAAAGCCATGGTCTTTCCTTTTACCAATCAGCGGGAACTATGGATGCTGCTTTTACAAAATGGAGGGACTTAGGTCTTCAGACTATTGGAAACCTATTCATAGATGGCACTTTTGCCTCCTTTAGACAGCTACAGGATCAACATGGTTTGCATGCAAGTAACTTTTTTTAGCTATTTGCAGATTAGGGATTACGTAAGAAAGCACATACCCTGTCTTAATGAGGCTACTTCTGCTAGTTTGGATGATCTCTTGGGGCTTGGAGGTGGGGTCAGTCATCCGATATCTTTACTGTACAACTCATTGTTGTCAAAGAACTTACCTTCTACAGAGAGTTTAAAATTGCAGTGAGAGCAAGATATGTTCAGAATCCTGGGCTGACGCACTAGAGAATATTCATACATGCTCTGTCAACTCTAGGCATTGCCTTATTCAAATTTAAGATTATCCATCAACTCCATTATACAAAACAAAATTACATAGACTTTTTCCAGATGTCTCCCCATATTGTGACAAATGTCAGACTGATGTAGCCACTCCCTTGCAATAGTTATGTTCTTTGTTCTAAGTTAATCTCATTCTTGACTTAAGTGTGTAAAATATCTGACAGTTTTAAATAGTGTATTAGAGCCCGACCCACTTCTTGTGATATTTGGAATTTCTGACAAAATCATGTCACTTAAAAAATCTGAACAACAGTTGCTGTCCTATGGACGTATTGTGGCAAAGAAACTTATCTTAAGGTTTTGGAAAACGACAGAAACCCCATCAGCTAAACTTTGGTTTGAAGAAATGAAAAGGTACTACATTTGGAAAAAATTAGATTCCTGTTGGCAAATAAATTGGATAAATTTGGTCTCCTCTTCTCCTATATCTTGAAAATGCAGGCGGAGTAATCATGCGGTGTTGACCGCACCATTAGTGTGGTATGATTTAAGTCCCTAGGGTGGGGAGGGAGGTAAGGGGATGTTTTGTACCATAAATGTTTGTTGTGCTTGTATGTTCAGTTTTTATGTGTTATTTAGGTATGTATGCATGCATGTATATATAACTGAAATCATGGTATGTAACAATAACTAGTGACTAAACTGCAAAATAATATTCAGTTCTGGAGATCCCTGCCTATTTCTTTAATAGGAAGGGTTAATATTATTAAAATGATCTTTCTCCCACAAATTCTTTATCTTTTTCAAAACATCCCAATATTTTTACCAAAGCTTTTTTTTAAACAACTAGATTCCATTATTATACCCCTTTTGTGGTATTACAAAGCCCATAGAATAAGTTAAGCACACCTTTGTAAATCTAAAGCTGTCGGTGGAATGGCACTTCCAAATTTTGCCCTTTACTACTATGCTTGTGCTCTTCAGACTATCATAATGTGGCTAGACCATACTGTAGCACACTCAACTTGGATCCAAATAGAAAGAGAGGTATGTAGACCATATGATATTGGTACAGTCATACTGTCTCCTATAAAGATAGATAAGTCAGTATATAGCCATAACTGTATAATTCATAGTACAATTCGTATTTGGAAGCAGATCAAATCAAAATCTGAAATAAAGCCATGGTCTTTCCTTTTACCAATCAGCGGGAACTATGGATGCTGCTTTTAAGGGACTTAGGGACTTAGGTCTTCAGACTATTGGAAACCTATTCATAGATGGCACTTTTGCCTCCTTTAGACAGCTACAATGGTTTGCAGGTTTGCATGCAAGTAACTTTTTTTAGCTATTTGCAGATTAGGGATTACGTAAGAAAGCACATACCCTGTCTTAATGAGGCTACTTCTGCTAGTTTGGATGATCTCTTGGGGCTTGGAGGTGGGGTCAGTCATCCGATATCTTTACTGTACAACTCATTGTTGTCAAAGAACTTACCTTCTACAGAGAGTTTAAAATTGCAGTGAGAGCAAGATATGTTCAGAATCCTGGGCTGACGCACTAGAGAATATTCATACATGCTCTGTCAACTCTAGGCATTGCCTTATTCAAATTTAAGATTATCCATCAACTCCATTATACAAAACAAAATTACATAGACTTTTTCCAGATGTCTCCCCATATTGTGACAAATGTCAGACTGATGTAGCCACTCCCTTGCAATAGTTATGTTCTTTGTTCTAAGTTAATCTCATTCTTGACTTAAAATATCTGACAGTTTTAAATAGTGTATTAGAGCCCGACCCACTTCTTGTGATATTTGGAATTTCTGACAAAATCATGTCACTTAAAAAATCTGAACAACAGTTGCTGTCCTATGGACGTATTGTGGCAAAGAAACTTATCTTAAGGTTTTGGAAAATGACAGAAACCCCATCAGCTAAACTTTGGTTTGAAGAAATGAAAAGGTACTACATTTGGAAAAAATTAGATTCCTGTTGGCAAATAAATTGGATAAATTTGGTCTCCTCTTCTCCTATATCTTGAAAATGCAGGCGGAGTAATCATGCGGTGTTGACCGCACCATTAGTGTGGTATGATTTAAGTCCCTAGGGTGGGGAGGGAGGTAAGGGGATGTTTTGTACCATAAATGTTTGTTGTGCTTGTATGTTCAGTTTTTATGTGTTATTTAGGTATGTATGCATGCATGTATATATAACTGAAATCATGGTATGTAACAATAACTATTGGATTGTTTCATTGAATACCTTAATAAAATGATTTAAACATGAAAATATACCCCAGCGACTTAAGACTGGTTTTGTGGTCCAGGGTCACATATACTACCATTCAAAAGTTTAGGGGATCTGTTTTGTTAATGTTCTTTGAAAAGTCTCTTATGCTCACCTAGGGTGAATTTATTTGATCAAAAATATAGTAAAAATAATATTGTGAAATATTATTACAAATTAAACCACAACAAAAAACTAAATTAAAAAGTAATTGTAAATGCAATTTCTATGATGGCAAAGCTACATTTTCAATAGTCTTCAGTGTCACAATATTCATCAGAAATCATTCTAATATGCTGATTTGAGGCTAACAAAACATCTTACCGACCCAAACATTTTGAACGACAGTGTATCTATCTACTGTAAGATTGTCAAAAATGTCAAAGACAACGTTTGTCTTAAAGATGTTACATAAAACTTCACTGCAAAAGCAAAGTGAAACAAAATCTAATGCTCACACTAACTGTATGGAGCTAATCAGAAGAATTTACCTCACAATCAGATTTATTGGTGGGACCAACAGTTCCTCTGACCTTGTTCTCTATGTTGACGGCCCCAATCAAAGTGTAGCCATCTTGCAAAGGAAATAAAGATTCTGCTCGCTGGCCAAAGTTAAACTCAACAGAGCAGTTCTTCACAAGGACGTGATGATACAGCGCACGACCAGCCAGTTCTTCTTTAGATACATGAAATGCCACATCAAGCCACTTCCCGTTCTTTGAGAAAACCCTCCTGCTCATTTCCACCTGCTCATGACTGTCAAAGTCCTGCAAAAGACACATAGGAGACTACATATTTATGTCAACTACTTTATTTAGGTAGTTACATGTTTGTTATTTTGGTTTTCTTTCATTATTCTCTCGAATCCAAAACGTAGTATGCTGCCTACCTAGACAGAAGGCATCGTACAGCAGGTCCCATCCCAATGCAGTTCAATCAAACTAAAATGGTGGAATCCAGAGACCACCCGACTCTCACGACATGAGGGTCAGGCTCACTGCAGGGAAGATGCTTGACTGGTACATACTCCATAACCTGGAGACAAAAACCAAGATTATGTAAACTTAAGTTGATTTGAAAGTTAAAATAATAGTTAACCCAAAAATGAACATTCTGTCACTGGGAATCACTCACCCTCATGTCGTTCCAAACCCATAAGACCTTTGTTTATCGTCAGAACACAAATTAAGATATTTTTGATGAAATCCCAGAACTTTCTGACCCTCCAAAGACAGCAAAGTATTCTCATAGCTTCATAAAATTACAGTTGAATCACTGATGTCACATGGACTATTTTAACGATGTCCTTACTATGTCTCTGGGCCTTGAACATGTCAGTTGCATTGCTGTCTATGGAGGGTCAGAAAGCTCTCGGATTTCATCAAAAATATCTTAATTTGTGCTCCGAAGATAAACGAGGGTCTTACAGGTTTGGAACAACAATATCCTTTTAATTAAAGAGAAACAACTAATCTGAACTACTACTCAAAGTGTGGGGTAAGTAAGATTGGAAAAAATTTAATACTTTTTTTTCAGCAAGGACAGATTCAATTGATAAAATTTGACAGTTAAGACATTTATAATGTTACAAAATATTTTTATTTTGAATAAATGTTGTTCTTTCTATTTATTAAAGAATCCTAAGATAGTATCACGGTTTACACAAAATATTAAGCAGCACTACTGTTTTCTAGGGATGTCTCGATCTTATCATGGTCACATGACGATATGAAACGATAGGTCTTCCAGGCAAAAAGTGTAGTTTTTAAAATAGATTTAAACTTCTTACTCTAACATAAAAGGTCTTTAAAGATGTGTTTTGGGCCATTATGCTTTGGCACAGTATCGGTCAAACGAAATAAAACCGAAAGCATAATATGGCTTAATCCCTTCGTCATCAGCTTGTGATACGGTGTTTTCCGCGCCTCAGAACGACTCCGTTCGCAGTGAACTTGATATGAAACGATAGGTCTTCCAGGCAAAAAGTGTAGTTTTTAAAACAGATTTAAACTTCTTACTCTAACATAAAAGGTCTTTAAAGATGTGTTTTGGGCCATTATGCTTTGGCACAGTATCGGTCAAACGAAATAAAACCGAAAGCATAATATGGCTTAATCCCTTCGTCATCAGCTTGTGATACTGTGTTTTCCGCGCCTCAGAACGACTCCGTTCGCAGTGAATGCAGTGAACTCGTTTATTGCATGTGTATGGAGATAGAATTGTTGCTTAATTCCAAATAAATAGATTATGATCCACAAATAAATAGAATGAGATCCACAAATAAATCTTAATTTCACAAACATGAATTAAATTCACAAATAAATAAAATGAGATTTGCAAATAAAAAACATTCACAAATATGAAGGCACGTAACATAAAATACTGTGGCTTGGCATGATACACAGTCTAATGGTCTAACGAAATCCAGTTTTAAACATCTTTTACTGTACCCATTGTATGGCCCTTATATGACCTATTTGAGCCAATGCAGATGCATGAAGTTCTCAGGACGAGACCGCCCTGATTGTAAAGCAAAACGTGATTGGCTATAGCGAGATCGTGCTACGATTGGTCAGCGAATGTGGCTGTTATCTGATTGGCTTGAGTAGACGGTGGGTGGAGTCCACGTATTTGTGGATTGTCAGCACGTCTTGACGCAAGAAATGTTTCACAATTCGCAAATGCACAGGACGCGATTCACAAATGCGTGCAGCTATCTACAAATGCACATGACGCGATTCATAAATAAATGCCAGGCAAAGTTGTGGTTGTGACAAATATATATTTGTGAATGTTTTTTATTTGCAAATCTCATTTTATTTGTGAATTTAATTCATGTTTGTGAAACTTTAAGATTTATTTGTGGATCTCATTCTATTTATTTGTGGATCATAATCTATTTATTTGGAATTAAGCAACAATTCTATCTTCATACATGTGCTGTGAGTTTAACACGTGTTTGGAAATTGCATCAGTGACACTGAATACTGAATAATGGCAGCTAAAAAATTGGCTTTGCTATCTGAGGAATAAACTACATTTTAAAATATACCGAAATAGAAAACAGTTACTTTAAATTGTAATAAGTCAAGTCAAGTCAAGTCACCTTTATTTATATAGCGCTTTTAACAATACAGATTGTGACAAAGCAACTGAACAGCATTACCATTATACCATACAATTTCACAATATTACCATTTTGAACATAAATGCAGACTTGGTAAGCCTAAGAATATAAACATTAAAAAAAGTATTATCAACCTCAAATTTTTGAAAAGTAATGTACATTACCTTCAGCTCATAGCACACGCATCCCTTGTTTACACCATACATTGCTCGTGCTCCAGACCATAGGTAAGCAAACCCCTCAATGGTTAAAGGACAGCCGCTGCAACGGTCCTGAGAGACTTTGAAGTGCAAGTCACAGTTATCTGTCGAGGTTTACAGAGAGAATTCCATTATTATTACTATTATAGAGATATCATAAATCATAATTACACAAAACAAGCCCTCACACGTACAAGTGCCAATGACCACTAGTGTGCCATCAAAGTCTTCCTCATCCACATGTACATGTAAATGTAACAGCATTTGTTAGTGTGCATTAAGTCAAAATGCTAATGTGATATAGGATTAAACAAAATCACTGTGGTAAATTCACCTCCTGTCTTCACGGTGTTCATAATAGCTGAAACCGTGGCTGTCATCATAGCGCCTTTGGTTGCCATAATGTGCATGTCTGTCCTGTTCAGTCTTGATCTCTGCATTCTGCTGGCTCTCCAGATCTTCCCATTCACTGCCAGGGGTCGGTCGCTGCTGTTCTTGTTGCTCCGTAATTATATCATCCTCATTTTTCACCTTTACTGGTGCCACTTCATGTCTTGTTAAACAATAAATATTCAATATAAAGCAGAGGTTCTCAACCAAGGGGTGAGAAAGCTATGCCACAGCAAACTTCCAAAGGGGCCTTAAAATGATTTAAAACATGACAAAAGGATTAATTTATACGAAAACAACTGAAATTAGTAAAACATAGTAACTACAAAGTACATTAATAAACTTTTGGAAGTTGGACATTTTATAATGAATACACATATTGCTAATTAAGCTAAGCTCTAAAATAATTGATCAGGCAGACATTAATTCTTCTAGAAAATCACAAACAACTGAAAGATCTAGGCCCGGGGTCAAATATGTTTGTTAGCAACAGAGGGCCTCAGAGTCAAAAAGCTTGAGAATGCAATAAAGTTAATAATCCAATATAGTGATTTCCCAATCAAAATTTGGGCAAAAAGGCAAACTTTGATTAATCTTATGATTATAAAAATAATAAAAACCATGTAGGAAATGCAACTGCTAAGCTTTATATAAATCTGCAATAATAACAATATATTTTTACCTATTTTACATACCATGAAGTGGACAAAATTGTCCTCATTTGTAAGTCGCTTTGGAAGTGTCTGCTAAATGACTAAATGTAAATATATTAGTGGTAGACTGATATGTTGCCAAAGTCGATATTCAGCAGTTTTTAATGAGTTACATCAGCCTTTGTGTTTTTCTGTTTGGTCAATAAGTGTCGGAAGCCGCATTAAAATGGTTATTATTTTTATTTGATTTAATTTTTATTACAGCACCGTGAATATCCAAATTGGATGCAGAGAGGAGAGTTCTGCTGTCACTTGATACAGCAAACTTCCAAAGGGGCCTTAAAATGATTTAAAACATGACAAAAGGATTAATTTATACGAAAACAACTGAAATTAGTAAAACATAGTAACTACAAAGTACATTAATAAACTTTTGGAAGTTGGACATTTTATAATGAATACACATATTGCTAATTAAGCTAAGCTCTAAAATAATTGATCAGGCAGACATTAATTCTTCTAGAAAATCACAAACAACTGAAAGATCTAGGCCCGGGGTCAAATATGTTTGTTAGCAACAGAGGGCCTCAGAGTCAAAAAGCTTGAGAATGCAATAAAGTTAATAATCCAATATAGTGATTTCCCAATCAAAATTTGGGCAAAAAGGCAAACTTTGATTAATCTTATGATTATAAAAATAATAAAAACCATGTAGGAAATGCAACTGCTAAGCTTTATATAAATCTGCAATAATAACAATATATTTTTACCTATTTTACATACCATGAAGTGGACAAAATTGTCCTCATTTGTAAGTCGCTTTGGAAGTGTCTGCTAAATGACTAAATGTAAATATATTAGTGGTAGACTGATATGTTGCCAAAGTCGATATTCAGCAGTTTTTAATGAGTTACATCAGCCTTTGTGTTTTTCTGTTTGGTCAATAAGTGTCGGAAGCCGCATTAAAATTATTATTTTTATTTGATTTAATTTTTATTACAGCACCGTGAATATCCAAATTGGATGCAGAGAGGAGAGTTCTGCTGTCACTTGAAACACAACGCTGGCACACTTTAAATCCTTTGATTTCACACTACTGTATGCTGTTGTATACAGTTGGCCGCTGTTATATTCACTGTGTACTTTGTAAAATTAGAACTACTTGTTCTTCATTTGAGAAAATATGACTTGTACACAGATTTACCAGATTACTGAGTGCACTTGTGGTTACTTAATTTTATTTGTGTTTTTAAATGTGTCTTTATTTGTGAAAACTATGAAAATAGAATGTGAAAATAAGCTATTTTTCCATATTGATTAATTTTCAAATGATTTATTCTAATTCAGTAAACATTATGTAAAATGCATAAAACTTCACTAAAGCATGTGTTATTTGTTACCTTTAAATTGAAATCTGTATCGTATATATTTTGGCTTTTTTTTCAGTCATCAAGTTCTGCTGTCACTTGAAACACAACGCTGGCACACTTTAAATCCTTTGATTTCACACTACTGTATGCTGTTGTATACAGTTGGCCGCTGTTATATTCACTGTGTACTTTGTAAAATTAGAACTACTTGTTCTTCATTTGAGAAAATATGACTTGTACACAGATTTACCAGATTACTGAGTGCACTTGTGGTTACTTAATTTTATTTGTGTTTTTAAATGTGTCTTTATTTGTGAAAACTATGAAAATAGAATGTGAAAATAAGCTATTTTTCATATTGATTAATTTTCAAATGATTTATTCTAATTCAGTAAACATTATGTAAAATGCATAAAACTTCACTAAAGCATGTGTTATTTGTTACCTTTAAATTGAAATCTGTATCGTATATATTTTGGCTTTTTTTTCAGTCATCGAACACCCTGCTCTCTAAAAATCTTAGAAATCTACATCATTTGACTGCTAACTCGTAATTACATTTACATGAACAAGCATCGGGTCACAATTCAAAACTGCTGATGAAATGCATTCAAACCCACAAACGTCAGTTGCAGTCTTACCCTCTTTGCAGATTGTCTCAATGGTTGCCTGTTGTACATCCACAGTCTCTGGTTTATTTTCATCTTTAGAGACTTCAGAAACCCTGGGGTGGGTATGGCTGTATTAGATCAAAAGGGTGCTTCTACTAAATACTGAGCAAAGGGTCTGAATACTTAGGACCATGTGATATTTCAGTTTTTCTTTTTTAATAAATCTGCAAAAATGTCAACAATTCTGTGTTTTTCTGTCAATATGGGGTGTCAATTAATGAGGAAAAATAATTAACTTAAATGATTTTAGCAAATGGCTGCAATATTACAAAGATTTAAAGATTTAAGGGGGTCTGAATACTTTCCGTACCCACTGTATATATATATATATATATATATAAATAAATAAATAAATAAATAAATAAGAGCCCTCTTTCTCAGCAGCCATCTGCCTTCGGTCAGAACACTCATCATTCCCAGCCTCTGCAACACCTGTCACAGGCAAACAAGCAATGAGATCACAAATGTTTCGGCTGAGTGCGTTTTCATTTTCATTAGTCAAAGCATGCATCAAATGATCTTCATGCATGCAAACTCGATTACCTGCTTCTGTCTCATCATTGCAGGTGGGTTCCTTTTCAGCCTCTAGAGCCGCCTGCAGCCGCTCCACCAGATCCACTTTGAGGCCTAGGGTGTCCAGCCCACGCTTCTGCAACTCCTCTTTCAGCTCATTCACTTTCAGTTTCTTCTGCATGACATAGCGAGAAGCTCTCGCTCCTAAACCTGCCAAAATGAACTATGGTTGTGTCAAAACATCAATATATGCTGATGCACATCCACATCTGTGTTTTAGAACATGTTAGCTGATTTTTAGCATCTGTCTAAACTGGTCACTAGCTGACCGATTCAAAAACCAGCTTAACCTTGTTGCTGATCCAAGTTGGTCTCACAAAATGACCAGCTCAGACTTGCTAGAAACCAGTTATCATGTTTCAAAAACCAGCAAGACCACTTTAGGATCATGTAATGGCTGGTCCAAGATATGGTCTATCAGCTTTAATCAGTTAATAACCAACTTGGACCTACTAATGGCAAGGTTAGACCAGATAGAAACCACCTATCAGTTTCCAAAACACAACTACCAGTTTAAACCGACAGGGTAGGACATTTACCCAGCTAATTTGCTAAATCATGTGCACACATAAGTTGTGTAGTAAATGCATTGGCAAACAGGCACATCTACTGCAATTCAATAAATGCATTCACATTATGATGTGATATGAGAAATGACACATGCACATGTCTGTTTTGTCAAGCTATGAAGTATGTTATGCCAGCTAATGTTAACTCAGCTCATGTAAATGGATGTGCATTTCTCTAATATGTCAGTTGGTGTCATGAGTTTACCACAGCAAAATGTAAAAGCTCTTGGTTAGTTGAAGGAGAGTGTTTGACAGCAGAAGACATACTGAGTGTTGTCCAAAGTGTTTGAGTGCTGCCACCTTCTGGACACATCTGGAATATACTGATAGTTCAGTCACTAATAATATGCATTACTTTACTATTCAGTTCATTATCAAGCCCTGTCAATGTCTACTGATGTGTGAACTTAAAGAAAAAAAATAAAAAACCTCCAACTCAAACAAGCATCTGGACCTGATGGGATATTAAACGAAATTATAAAACACACAAGCAGTAAATTCCAATTGGCCATTCTAAAACTATTCAATGTGCTTCTGAGTGTAGGTTACTTCCCTGACATCTGGAATCAAGGCTTGATAACCAATCTTTAAAAAGGGTGATAAATTTGATCCTAATAACTACAGAGGCATCTGTGTGAGCAGCAACCTGGGAAAATTCTGTAGTATAATAAATGCTCGACTATTAGACTTCATCACCACACACAATGTACTGAGCAGAAGCCAAATCGGATTTTTACCAAATTACCGTACATCTGATCACATCTATACATTACATACTCTAATTGAAAAACATGTTAACCAAGATAAGTCAAATATGCATGCTTTATTGACTTTAAAAAAAGCTTTTGACTCAATTTGGCACCAAGGACTATTCTACAAACTTACTGAAAGTGGCATAGGAGGTAAAACCTATGACCTTATCAAATCAATGTACACTGAAAGTAAATGTGGTGTAAAAATCAGCACCAAACGTACGAGGTATCTTTCCCAGGAGCGTGGCATGAGACAGGGCTGCTGCTTAAGCCCAGTGTTATTTAACATTTACATCAATGAACTGGCGAGCAGTCTGGAGCGATCTGCAGCCCCTGGCCTCACCCTACACAACTCACAGATCAGATGCCTGCTGTATGCAGACGATCTGCTTCTGCGGTCTCCCACTCAACACGCTTTACAGCAGAACCTGGACCTGCTAGAGGAATACTGCCAGACCTGGGTTCTGACAGTCAACCTGAAGAAAACCAAAATTATAATCTTTTAGAAAAGATCCAGATACCAGGGAACACAACACACATTTACATTAGGCACTAAGCAGATAACACACACATCACACTATAACTACCTGGGTTTGAAAATCACATTCACGGGAAACTTGAATCATGCTGTGAATGAACTGAGAGATAAAGCACGCAGGGCCTTCTACGCCATCAAACGGCAATGTCCTATAGAGATCCCCATTAGAATTTGGCTGAAAATATTAGAATCAGTAATTGAGCCCATTGCCCTCTATGGCAGTGAGGTGTGGGGTCCACTGACAAATCCCAATCAAGATTTCACCAAATGGGAAAAACATCCGATCGAGACCCTGCATGCAGAACTCTGTAAAAATATATTACACGTGCACCGGCACACAACAAATAACGCATGCAGGGCAGAATTAGGCAAATATCCTCTAATCATAAAGATACAAAAAAGGGCAATTAAATTCTGGAAACATCTGAAGCTCAGTGACCCCCAATCATATCATTATAAAGCCCTGCAATACCAAGAGATGAGCAAAGAAAGCAAGCCCCTCCCTCAGCTGATCCAGAGCTTCAGTCCTGATGCTTCACTAACATCTACTGCTGCTCTGAATCACAACATCAGAATCAGTCAGATTACTGCACAAATCAAACAGAACTACATCCCTCACTGGCAAACCCAAACACAACAGCAGAGTAGAGTGCAATGCTATTTGGCCAAAAAGAGAGTACAGTATGGCAGAGTATCTGTACACAGTGTCAGATAAGAAACTGAGAGGCACGTTGACCAGATACAAACTCAGCGGACACAAGCTGATGATAAAGACGGGCAGACACAGAAAAACATGGCTGCCACCGGAGCAGAGATTGTGTTCACACTGTGATCTGAATCAGATGGAAACAGAACTGCACTTCCTAACAGAATGCCCCAAATACACAGATATATGAACAGTGTTCTATGATAAAATACAGCAGATCCATCAGACATTTAACACTTTCAAACCAGGAAACTGCCGTATCTGTTAGGAGAACACAATAACTGCTGTGTGCTTGCTGCTCACCATAGCTGTTATGGGGCTGACAAGATGAGAGACGTGCGGATCCATATGCAGGCTTTTTATTTAGAGAAGACAGAGACGTGATCATAAAACAGGCGGGGTCAAACAGGTATATGGCGGGCAAGACAAGAATAGTCCTAGGGCTAGCGTAGGAGCCGCCACCTCTGGGGATGTTGTAGCCGGTGCCGCTGCCTCTAGCAAATCGGTGGTGGAGTACGCGGCCCAGATACACCATAAAGCAAACCCCCATATGGGAAATGTTGCAGACAGGGGAATGAGTTCAGGAACAGGAGGACTAAAGTGAGTGGGTTTGGGGATACCAGCTGCGCGTGCAGACACCAGCGATGAATCCCTCACACTGGACACCAGACTCGGATACCGACGGACCGACACCGACAATCTGGGCGCAACAGACAGGACGTGACATGACTCTGGATGATCAGCTGTGATGCGACGTGAATCTGGATGAACAGCTGAGACATGAGGCTCTGGCAGATCAGCCGAGACTTGACTTGACTCCTGAAGATCAGCTGTGACTTGACTAGATTCATGAATATCAGCTGTGACTAGACTCGACCCATGACGATCAGCTGTGACTAGACTCGACCCATGACGATCAACTGTGACTAGACTCGACCCATGACGATCAACTGTGACTTGACTAGACTCGTGATCAAACTGTGACTTGATTTGACTCGTGATGATCAGCTGTGACTTGATTAGACTCAGGCAAAGGAACTGTGACTTGACCTGACTCGTGAAGATCAGCGGTGACTTGACTCGTGACGATCAATTGTGACTTGACGGGGCGCTGTTGTGTCCGCCATTTTGTGATCAGGCCCCTCTGTCGCCACCATTTTGTGAACGCAATCTAGTGCGGAGGCCATTACAGGAGTAAGTGTGGGGTTGCGTTCCTCCGCGATACCCACAGTCCACAAAGAGCCAACAGTCAATAAAGCATAATCCATACACTCACATAGTGACGAACGCGGCCCCTTAAGGATGAGCCTAGACTTCAACGGTTGCCTAATGCCACTATAAAAAAAGGCTTTTTATTTGGAGAAGACAGAGACGTGGTCATAAAACAGGCGGGGTCAAACAGTGGCAAACAGGTATATGGCGGGCAAGACAGAAGAATAGTCCTAGGGCTAGCATAGGTCGATGAACAGCAGTAATTAATTTTGCACTACATGCTTAATACTTTTTATATATTATTCTTATTACTATTATTCTTTTTCTTTCTGTTAATACATATGTGTACTATTTGTAAGCAGTCCAGCTGCAATTGCTTTGGCAATACAAATGTATAATTTTTGTCATGCCAATAAAGCACTCTTAAATTGAAATTGAAAAATTGAGAGAGAGAGAGCGAGAGAAAACAAGCATTGTACAAACATGACTACATATATCCAAACATGTCAGGGGTATATAGAAAGAAAGAAAAAATGTATTAAACATAGTTCGTATAGTATTTCAAAACTGCTCAAGCTTTTCAAATGAATGATTTTTGCATTTTTAAATTTAAGTCTGTAAATACAGAATTTTGTGCCTTGAATACAATGAAAACTGAAGTGCTAAAACTTTCGCATGTGATTACTTAAGATTGCCATTTCACAATTACATAATATTTTCACAATTGTAATACATTCAAGATATAAGAAAAAAAAACAAGCATCAGAATATTTCACTTTATTTTACAATCATAAATATACACCCATATACACATACCATATTAAACACAGCAGTCTTTTAATGTAATGGGGATTTTCTTGCAGGACACACAGAGACGGCTCTCTGTTTCCTATATCGAGGAACACATCCATATTTACTATATAATATGGAATTTGTCATTCAAGTATCGAAAATTCAAGTGCATTTTCAAATCATTAATAAATGATGAATGCCCAACTCCATCAGCATATTATATGAAGAAAATGTTATGAAATAACATCCAAACTGATGAGCAGAATAGTAAGCGGTAAAGCGTTGGCAATGGTTTAACAGAGTCATCAAATAACTAGAACTTTCAATTGAAAACAGCATCATCCAACCAAACAAATAATCAATAGGAAGTGTTATACTGGTGGCCAGTCACCCAATCACATACAAACTCTCTGTTCCTTCCTCGTTTATATAACCTGGGGTTTCCTTGTGTGTGTGGGATGGCTGAACGTAGACTTTGTGTGTATATATGGCAGTGCTGCACCACTACTGATATGTTCTCATAAATCAGTCTCTTTGCCCTTCTTAGAAAAGTCGTATTTTAGTGATGCATATTGTTACTTGGTAGTTGGAGCCGCTGGGAGGGACAACAGAAGTCTATTAACCTCTCTGATCTGGGCATCCAGTGTCTCCGTGGCTAGTGCAAGCTCTCCTAGTTGTGTCTGAAGACTGTTAATGGTTTGTGCGAGCTCCTCTTCCTTGCGCCTGGAGTTGGCGGCCTGACGGCTGTACTCAAGCACCATGCAACCTCCGCCGATGATGAAAATGATAGCTTCACCGAGCAGCTCTGCTCCGAGCTCCGCAGCTGCCTCTTCATTCAGAGGATTGATGGTGGAGCCACGGAAACCCATAATTCTCATCTTTGTTCTCATCTCGATCCAGTGATATGCTATGGAGAAAACAAGAGGCACCACACATTGAATTACCCGAATTACCTATTTTAACAATCCACTGTAAAAAAAATAAAATAAAATAAAAAGGTTAAAGGGGTCCTTTTATGCTCTTTTACAAAGTCTTGATTTTGTTTTGGGGGTGTACTAGAACAGGCTCTCATACTAGGTTGTTCGAAAAACACATTATTTTTCACATATTTTACATAATTACAACACCTCTCTCCCCAGTCTGGCATACCCAGTCTCAAACACAAAATGTGCTGTGATTGGTTAGCTGAGCCAGTGTGTGTTGTGATTGGCAGCACTCGGTGCCTGGTCGGGAAATGTCATGCCCCTTACCATAGCCGCCTGCGAGCTTCAGTGTAAATACTGCGTCAAAATCAAATCAATTTGAGTGTGATTTAAACCCGGATTATTGTAACCACTAAGTTTGTCTGCCTTGGGAAAGCTAGCGTGTCTCCGTCATAGTGATAACACTCGTTGCCTTCTCTAGTGCAGCTCAACCAGGTCTCGTCCCATTCATCGATATTTGTGATATCACAAATCCCGGAAAATATGCGTTGTAGTCCAAACGAGTCGTTCGTTATAGTTTTTGAAAAGTGATTTCTGTTAAATAAAATATCTCCTTTTGAAGTGGACGTTGAGCTTTGTAACTTTGCAGATCTTTTTTTATGCTCAAACAGCAACATTACAGACTAACTAAAGTTGAAAACGTGAAAAAGCATAATAGGACCCCTTTAAGACACACTTTGGTTTTACCTTCATGCTCGTGGTAACCAACATAACAGATTACAGTATAAAAAAAACATACTATTACAAACAATAACAATGTTAAAAAGAGACTACTATATGAAAGCTATAATATTAAAAAAGAGACTAGCATGTAAAAAGTACAATATTAAAAAATATATTAAAAGAGACTAGTATTTAAACATGATATTTTATAAAAAAAGTAGAAATAATTGATTTAATTATTACATTATCTACTTCTGCCTGAAAATTCAGATATATAGCATATTGTGCAAACAAGGCTACATATAACCAAAGAAAAAGCTTGTATTAGACATAGCTGATATTGCTCTCATATTATATATACATTTATTAATAAATAAATGAACATACATATATATATATATATTACTTTATAATATTAAATGTGACCCTTTGGACCACAAATCCAGTCATAAGTAGCACATTGTATGGGTCAAAATGATCAATTTTTACGGTATATTTTTTATATTTTACAGACGGTAAATTTGACATCGTTCTCTCTTCAGACAGCCATTATCAGTCTCTCTCAATTTTTTTCCTTTTATTGAAAGTCATGAAAACACTATCGTGGAGTTTTTCTTTTGCTATTTGAGCAACTGGGAATGCAAAAATATATTTGTGGTGCTCTCCCATTCACTGCGCTTCAAGTTTACCCAACTAAGGAAGGAGGCAAGATGGCGGACTGAGTAGTCGACATTTGATCTGCGCCATAAATGAGTCCCGTGTTTACTTAAAAGTGATGAGTTTATACTCCACTCATTAACTTCAAGTGTTAGTCCATTATACCCAACATTGCTATTTTCAAGTTGCTATAAATTTTCCGTTTGAAATCGCTTCTAATTTGAAGATGGAGGAACACTCCTACTCAATGGACATTGATGAAGTTTCAGGTAAAAGAGAACGGGGAACTGATTCAATCCATCCACTCTGTTTAAATCTCAAAGTGGAAAAAAAGTAAAAAAAATCGATTGGAAATGATCTGACTGGTGATGTGTCTAACGTCGCTATCCTTGACGCAATTAAAGCACTCAGAGTCAAAGTGGATGAGCAGCACGAATATATTAGCATGCAGCTGAAAAAAGACCAGAGTTAATGACCGGTTCTATGTTCTCGGTATCTAATGTTTCATTTTCGTCTTTAAACTGTAGGGGTCTGAAAGATTCAGTTAAAAGGAAAGGTATTTTTCTTGTTTGCAAAAGTCAAAAATCAAAAACTTAATTTTTCTTCAGGAAACTCACTCGGAAGCTTCGGAAGCTCCTTTCTGGCGTAATCAATGGGGTGATGACATATTTTTTAGTCACGGCACAAATCGATCTGCGGGAGTTGCTATTTGTTTGCATAATTGTCCTGGTAAGATAATTTATCACAAAGCTGATGATGAGGGTCATTGGCTAGCAATCGTTCTCAGTTTAGACAAGTTTTTCTTTATCTTGATAAATGTGTGCGGATATAATAGTCGTAATCAGAATAGTGATTTGCTCTTTTCAATTACTGACATTATAAATGAGTTGAAGATTATTTACCCCACATAGTTTATTCTAATTGGAGGAGATTTCAATTGAACTCCAGATGAGTGGCTAGATAGAGATCCTTCCAAATTAAGTCAATAACATTGTTCAAAAGTTTTGCTCTTCAAATCTTCTGATTGATATCTGGAGAATTCAGAATCCAGCATTAGACGATTTACTTGGTTTAAACCCAATGCAAATGTGAGATCAAGAATTGATTATTGGCTTGGCACTGAGGCTGTCTATAAGCATGTATATAACTGCTCTATATCTAGTGCTCCCTTAAGTGATCATTGTGTAATTGAGTTAAACTTAAAACAAAAGGGTGAATCTAGTAATTTCAAAGGGTACTGGAAATTTAATGCTGACCTATTAACTCAGAATGACTACTGCATTTATATAAAGAAGATTATAACTGATATCGGTAGGAAATGTATGCCAAGTGGTAGTAAATGGGAGTTTTTAAAATATAAACTTAGAGAATTGTCAATAACTTATGGGAAAAATCTTAACAAAAAGAGATTAGCGAAATAAATTATTTTAATAAATAAGATTAATTTGTGCTGTTGCAAATCTATTCTATCAGCTGAAGATAAGAAAAAACGTATTCATTTACATTCTTTATTGGATGAACTTTATGTAAGGAAGGCAAAGGGTGCATACGTGAGGTCAAGAGCAAAATGGATGGAGGAGGGGGAGAAAAATAGCTCATACTTTTGTAATCTTGAAAAAAGACGTCAAGTAAGAAATGCTGTAGTTAGTTTAGTGATAAATCAGAGTGAATGTTCTGATAACAATATTATTGCAAGAGAGGTGTTTCAGTTCTATTCAAATGTATATACTTCTGCTTACTCCAGTGATGATTCTGAACATTTCTTTAAGAAAGTAAAAAATGATATCCCTACAGTTGAGAATTCATTTAAAGAACTTTGTGAATCCGATTTGACCATTCAAGAATTAGGTTTAGCCTTAAAAAAAAATGAAAACTGGTAAATCTCCTAGGCCAGATGGCCTAGCCAATACAAGATTGTATTATATATAATAATCTATTGCCTACTATGAAGCAGGGTCTTATTACTCTGATTCCAAAACCTGGAAAAGACAAAAGGATTTTAGATCATCTACAGCCTATTACGCTCCTCAACACTGATTACAAAATATTTTCCGGAGTGATTGCGGCCAGGTTAAGGGTGGGACTTCCTCAAATAATTAGTGAGACTCAATCTGGGTTCCTTAAGGGTAGATCAATTCATAACAATATTCGTTTGGTACTTGATATCCTAGAATATAGTAATTTAATTGAAAAACGATGGTTTTATTTTATTTTTAGATTTCTTTAAAGCGTTTGATATGGTAGAACATCCGTTTCTTTTTCAGACACTCAGTCATTTTGGTTTTGGGCCAAAATGTATAAATATCATCAAAATGCTTTACAATGACATTAATAGTTCAGTGGCTCTTCCCAAGGGAACTTGTCCGAGATTTCAGGTGAACGGGCATAAGACAAGGCTGTGGGAGTTCACCTCTGTTATTTATTATGGTTGCGGAACTGCTAGCCAATTTCAAAAGATGTAGAGAGAATTGAAATGTTAAATATTGACAAAAAAATTGAAAAATGTAGATCAATTATGAACTCTTGGTTACAGAGAGATATAACAATTTTCGGGAGAATATTGCTATCGAAAATTGAAAGTCTTTCTAGATTAATTTACCCAGGTTTTTCATTGCCAATTTCTTCCAGAAAGATAAAAGCAATTAATAAACTTAATTTTGATTTCATTTGGAGGAAAAAGTATCACTATATAAGGAAAAATGATATAATAAGAGAATATGAGGATGGTGGGTTAAAGGCAATAGATTTTGATATTATGAATGGAGTACTTAAACTTAAATGGCTTCAGTCTTTTATTAGAAATGAGCATTCATACTGGTTTGCAATTCCATCCAGTTTGTTTAAAAAATGTGGCGGTATAAAGTTTTTTTTACAATGTGACTTTGAGATATCTAAAATTCCACTGAAACTGTCAGATTTTCATAAACAAGTCCTCTTGTATTGGAAAATGCCGTTTAAACATAACTTCAGTCCTCATAATGTTTCCTTATGGAATAATCGTTGTATTTTATTTCAAAGAAAATCTTTATTTTTGGAGGACTGGTGGCAAAGAGGTATTTGGACAGTGTTACACATGATGGATAAGAATGGCTGTTTTTTTTATTATAATGATTTTTGCACTAAATTAAATTTTAAGTGTGAGGAAAAAAGTTTATTTGAAAGTTACTAAAAGTATTCCTTCACCATTCCTTAATATGTTAAAGGGGATTTTAACATACTATCATTCCCAAGATTTTGGATCTTAAATTAGGCAAAATAAATTTTGTAGATGAGAAGTGTACTAATAAGTTTATAAGGAAAGCTATCCTGGTCCAATAAGAAGGAGCTATATTTTTCAACATCTAAATAGGAAATCAATTAACGAATTTAGATGCAAATATTTGTTATTTGCTCTTCCACCAAAATATAAAGAAGTGCACTTTAAAATGTTGTTCGATATTTATCCTGCTAAGGAATTTCTGAGATTAAGATTGAATGTGGATTGTAATATTGGTCAATTCTGTAATAATGATGTAGAAACTGTTGAACACTTATTTTTCCACTGTTATCTGGTTAATTCGTTTTGGACTGAAGTATGTAATTGGATTAAACAAAGAATATCTATTTTTCCATCTATTACTTGGGACATGTTGACATTTGGAGTTCTTTTTTTGGAGGACAAAAGAGTAGACTTTGTTGTAAATTGTTTACTCCTCATATTAAAATGCTTCATTCACAAACGTAAAGTTATGAAAACAGCACCCCAGTTGAATGTCTTTAAAAATGAGCTTGCCGTGTATACAGAGGTCCTGAAAATGATGAGAAGTGATAAAGCCAAGAAATTATTTGATTTGTTTCTCTGTTATAGTATGATTAATATGAATGTCTCAGTCTGTGAGGACTTACAGTTGTGTTTATGTTAGACTATTTTGTTCTGTTATGATGCTTGAAATGCAAAATAATAATAAAAAATGAAATAAAAAGTTTACCCAACTATGACGACTTCCGCTGCTGAGAAACCCGGAAATGTGAAAAGGGTCCATTCAGTAGATTTCAAGCAGCAAAAGGCACTTTCAGTTACTCGCTGTGACCTCAATGACAGTTGAGTCCCACCCCTTTAAGCAAACCCGAATCTCATTTGTCTAAATGGAACCTTCTTTCTAGCATCTCATTGGTCTCTGGGTAAATCTGTAGTTGAAAACACCCAATGACAACAAGGCAGCAGCCGTGATTGGCTAAATAGCACATACAAGCAAACGGCTATTGGCTGCGTGTTGCCTCGACGTTTACGCCTACAGACACCATTATCATATGGACTGACATCACATCGTTAAACACGAACAACCAAAAGCCAGCCTACCTTGAGCCGGAGGAAGGCAGATGTAATTCTTAAAGAATTCACTTCGCCGCGCGCCTGCTTTTATCCTGTTAGCCACTGGTTTGCTCAATTGCCTTACGCCCAGATAGAGCAGCTTTGCAATTGGAAAGGCACCGACAACCATCTTGGCGGAAAATGCGTCATCTGAGGAGGCGGGAGGATAAGGACGACATGTGGACAATGCTCCCGCGTAATATTAATGATGCAATATTAATATTCATGAGATCTAGAACGCGCGTTTCGCGCAATATTATCATTATTATTATTTTATTTTTTATTTTAAGTGAAAAATATAACTCTAATCGTCCTTTGTTTTTTATTGTTATTAATTTGTTTTATTTTAATTTTATTTAAAGATTATTCCCCCCATTTGTTACGTAGTTTATATTTATAGTATATTAATTTTTTATTTTTTACAAAACAACGTATTCTAAATAGCTCTAAAATAAATGCATGAAAACAATCACGATACCAATAAGAAACAAATAAAAGAAATCTCTCAGCGCGTTGTTTACCTGCGCCAGCTGTGCGTCTGGAGCACCTGGGTCGGGTTTCAGAAGCAGTGGGCTGGACTGAATATCTCAGGACTTCACAGACAAGAGTTAAACACCGTTTAAATCTTTTCCAACTTGCCATGTAACACATCCATGCTCGGCGGGACTAAGTTCTAGGACTTTACGGCACGACAACCTCACAACTATAACAGCTATTCAAGGTACAGGAAAATATTTATGTTATTGTGCTTTTGAGTTTTCACTGAGAGTCCAGTTTTACTTGGCTTTAAGAAGGCGATGTGGATTGTACAGTGGACTCGGTCGTGTCTGTTATGCCAGGCCGTTTTAGCAACCTTTTTTTTTATATATATTATTTAAAAAATGTGTACTATGTCGAAAGTTTTTTTAAAGGCGCCTTTGTGTAAGGAAGTGTACGAGGAGGAGTCGGAGCGCTTTAATGGAAATCAGATGTCTTGAAAACGCACCACGCAGGAGCTTTTGAAGTCGGTGCTCATTGAACTGTCCACTGAACAATATATTCATTATTCAACCTGAATGATGTCTTTGAATCACCCAAAAGCTTATCCGAGCTTTTATTTATTTAGTAATAGCCTACTGTAGTTTGTAGTATGTTGTGTTGTTCGGAATATTAATACATAAAGCGTCATGAAAATATAAGGCCTGTCAAGATGAAAGCCAGATGCATTTTGGCTACATATATACATATCTGTCTTATCCTGCTACAACTTGTTTTCTGGCTCCCTTACAGCTTTGTAAACACTGACAGTTTGCATGTTGGTTCAATTGCATGCCAGCCAGACACATTGTGTGCACTGTGGTTTATGTTTTAAAGGTTAGATGCAGTCAGGGTGGATTCCTTGTGTCTTGGATATCTTGTGTGATTCACAAGGAATGTTAAGCTTGTAATTTTGAAGACCTGAGAGATTCCAGAAGCAACTTCAGACTCTTTAGAGTGCCACAGGGCTGCACAAAAACAAACAGAGAAGAACTAGTATCAATGATCAGAGAGAGTCTGAGTTTTATTTATATATATATATATATATATATAATACACATAAAATCCCACCCATTGTATCAGGATGACTAACAGGGTTTTGTCGATGTTCTGTAAGGGCAGTCATTGTCTGAAATTTGACCTGACACCCAGTCACTCCCCAGTCTTGTTAACCCAAATCTGATTAAATGTCTTGATTTCTGAGTTGATATTTTGACTTTTCAACAGTGTCAGGACATGCAATAGGCTGATCAGTGTGATTTTGCATTTGCGTCTGATTTTGTGTAGATTTTTCAGTATTGGGAGTTTTATTTCGCATCACTAATTTGATAATTTACTCATCCTCATTTTGTTCCAAACCTGACTGACTTTCTTCTGTGGAATGTTTTGAAGAACATCCAGTAACTTTCAAAGATTCAGTTAAAGACATTTTGAAAAAAAAAATGTCTTTAGTTTTCCACAGAATAATTAAAAATGATGACAGAATTGTAATTTTTAGTTTTTCACAGGAACATTCCGCCCACCGTTTTAGGAGTGCATCAGTGTGACAGTGGGGTGAGGCTCATCAGATCCAAGTGTTTTGTATCCGCTCAGTGGTCCATGTCATGATAAAGGTTGTTGAGAACAGAATGAACTGCTCTTGAGTGTCCGCACCCCTTCAGAAGAAATCCCATAAGCTCCATCTAAAAAGATCCTTGTAATCAATTCTGATCCTTTTAATTCTTTAAAGTTCTGAGCTTTTGTACAGGCCAATATTCAATATTTACATATTTGTTTAATAGATTTTATTCTTCATCCGATGAAACTCTTATCTGTTCTGTCTTAGTTGGTTATAAATCAATACACCTTTTTGGCAAGGCCCTACTGAATTGTAAACCTGTTACATGCCGTTTGAATTCATGCCATAATTCATTCTTATCTGAAACACTCTTGTGGTCTACAATGAATGACAGTTCTGTCAGGACCACTATTGTCAAAATGATAGATACTTAGCATAAAGTTTGGTTTGGCGGTATGGTTCTGTTCTGGGCAAAAAACTCCCTGCCCATCCATGCAGCCTGTCATGAATGAGCAGGGAGAGCAGCAATAATAACCCCCCTAGGGTTAACAGAACAGAACAAGGCAGATATCATTAATGTACTTAATGATATTTAAGTGTAACACTTTATTCAAGATAAAGGAGTCTGATTAAAAAAGTTTAATATCATGCAGATCAGGGCAAAGGGCAAGCTTAACAACTGATTGTGAAACTGGGTTGAGAAAGCGAGAACATGAGCAAAAGGTTTCTGTAACCACACCTTATTCCATCAGTAGAAAGCTCTGCTGTCTTAATCTTTTAGTCTTTGTGGTTTCCGCACCAGGCTCTGAATGGGCTAGGTCTTCTTATCAGCACAGGACGAGAGTTATTATTAGCCTGTGTCACTCTCAACTCCACATTCCAGATTCACTGTACCAGGCCTGAGTCCAACGGCACTGCAACTAAAGTGCTAAATTATCAGTCACGCAAAGCATTAACGCCTCCATCGGCAAATGACTGCGGAGCAGTGAATGAGAGTTGGAGATCAGCGATTAAGATCGGACAGGTAGCAAAAAGAGAGAATGTGAGAGGATAGAACAAATATCAAGATACATCAGGGGGGTGAAGACTATTGTGCTTTTAGGAAAAGGGTGACTAGACGTCTGTCGCCGGCTGGTGCTGTCCTTGGAAAAAGAGGTTTTACTGCATGTTCAGAAAAACACGTGAAGTGAAACAACACTTAATGTGCTAGATGTCACATGCCTGTTAAAAAGACGCATATCATTCATCACATACTGTATAGTGCGGAATTCATCTTTTGAATTCCAGAAACTCAATGAACAGGAGGTAATTGCAGCCTATACAGTAGTGTTTAAAATGTGGCTTTTTAAAAATGTATTCAGCAATGATGTATTAAATTGATCAAAAGTGACAGAAAATACTTTTACATTGTTACAAATTAATGCTGTCAAAGAAATACTGTTCTTTCTATTCGTGAACAGATCAAAAACAAATATTAAGCAGAACAGCTGTTTTTACATTGATAAAAATAGGAAATGTTTGAATGATTTCTGAAGGATCTGAAGACTGAAATAATGGCTGCTGGAAAATCAGCTTTGCCATCACAGGAATAGATTACAGTGTAAAATATATTAAAATAGACACATTTTAAATTGTAATAATGTTTCACAATTTCACTGTTTTACTCTGTCTTTGAAAAATCTTGCTGACCCCAATCTTTTGAACGCTAGCACATGTAAAAAAGTTCTTGTAGTTATTTACTAATTTCTGTCTCTTTAGATTATTACATTAGTTACATCATCTAAATAATTATTTTATGTCGGATTCATGTTACATTTCTAGTTGCATTCATAACATTTTCAAGTACTAGCTGTCACTCAGGACAAAAAGGTACAAAGGCTGTCACTGGGGCGGTACCTTTTCAAAAGGGACACTTTTGGACTTTTTAGGTACTTATATGTATCTTTAAGGTACCAATATGGACTCTTTAGGTACAAAGGTGTGCCTTTTGAAAAGGTACCGCCCCAGTGACAGCTTTTGTACCTTTTTTTTCTGAGAGTGTAGCTGCTTACGCATGGTTGTGGATGTGCACTGTTGATAATTTCTTTTTTTTTATAGGGATAATTATAAAAGATTATGCCAAACGGCTTAGTTTGCCAAGTAAAGCTTTCATTCTCATTGTTCATTTTCATTCTCATGTTCTTCGTTATTATATCAGGACAGTTGTATCACCCTGACATTCGATAACTGATACAAACAAACTAGAGTATGAATTCAGACAGCATGTAACAGGTTTGGAATTCATGAAAATGAATTTAAAAACATGTAGGTGTACTCAAGTCATTGTATGTGTGAACAATTTTTTTAAATATATATATATATATATATATATATATACATTTAGAGACAGACATAAATAGACAAAGTGTTGGTCACTGACCCTAAATAAAACTATATGTTTTTCAGTTCATAAGATAAGATTGAACATTTTCAGTGATACTGACTCCTCAAGTAAGAAAGCTGGTCACCTTTAGGAACGGAGGAGGGGGTTTCGAATTGAGTTTGCGGAGGTGACCCAGGCCGTGCTGTCTAATGTGAATCAATAAGCCAGTAAGGGTTAGTAGACTCTGTTGATCTTGACAAAACAAACAAGACAGAGTGGCTTGAGTTAGTGCCCTTCTACAAAAGGCGCATGTAGACACATACACAGTTTATTACTCTGTGAAAGCTTCAAATTAAAGAAAGAATCAAAGAATCTTCTGGAAGTGAATAACTGCCAGGTAATCAATTTAAACCATAGTAACAAATATAACCCCACTCAACAGTCACCAAATGTAAGCTTAATGTTTCTGATAAATCATTATTATCACAAAGGGCAACAGTGGCATGATGTAGCATGTTTTAACTTAAGATGAGTGATGTTTTCACACCTAATTCTCTATAACCTGCAGCAGCTTTTGACCTTGTGTGGGACAAGTTATTCTGCCAGCTGGATGACTCAGTATTGAGTAAGCCAGAAGAACTGACTGGCTCATCGAAAAATGCACAAAGAACAGACACATTACTAATAAATATCTGTTTTTTAGAGGGTGAAAGTCTAACAAAACGTGTCTTATGTGATTCAGATATATATGCATGACTTTGTATCTGTGTGTCTTATCGTCCCACAAGTGCTCACGTCTTTATTTTCACTTATGTTGGGTAAGCATGTGAAAGTCGTAAGTCATGTTTCTAGTGCCATTTGCGTGGGAGTCGAAGCTCTCCATTCAAAGGCCTTCAGTGCACAGTGAATTATACTAGTATAAAGAAGGAGTTGCAGCAACATATGTCAGATGTGGACAGCAGACTACTTCATAAATCACAAAGGGTGTTTCTCTGTGTACAATGTAATGTAGGCAGTTTTTGAACTGGAGGTGATGGAATGCTTAAAAACAGTACACTTGTCTCTCAAGTCCTGCTGTATATCAGTGTTTTAGTAGGCTGGTCATGCTTTTCTTTTCACAGATGCAGAATAACGTCATCATGACACATGAATCTGTTACATCTGCCATCAGAGTTGGGGGAAAGTTACTTTTAAAAGTAATGCATTACAATATTGTGTTACTCCATAAAAAAGTAACTAATTGCGTTACTCAGTTACCAATTTTTGTGAAGTAATGCATTGTTATTTTGTGTTGCTTTTTGTCACCTGAGCTGGGCTTGTTTATTTATTTTTAATAACAAAAAAGCAATTTTTATTTATATTTTTGGCAACAGTAAAGGCCCTTGAACACCAAAAGTGAAACGTCTTAACCAAAAGGAAGTTCCTCTGCACCTGCACCTCGCTCCCAATTTCTCTCAACACAGGACAGGAGAGGTGTTAGTGAATAAATGGGAAAACAAAGTAATTTGCATTACTTACTTGACATAAAGTAACTCCGGTATTTTCTTGTAAATGTAAAAGTACGTTGCGTTACTAGACGAAAAACTTACTTGGAAAAAGTAATTTGATTAAGTAACTTGTTAATGCATTAGCCCCATCACTGTCTGGCATATAACACACACACACACTACTTTTTAAAAGTTTGGGGTCGGTAAGATTTTTTTTCACCAAGGCTGCATTTATTTGATAAAAACATAATAACAGAAAAAACAGTAATATTGTGAAATGTAATTTGTTCATGTGATGTTTATTTCAGTTTTCAGTGTGTGTATCTATCCATCCATCTGTTTGTCTGTCTATCTAGGCAAACAAAAAAATGTATTATAGGTTTTAATATTTCTGTATGAGTCAGATACCATGCATTCCCAAACAATGATACGATTAATTTAAATCAGGTACGCTGTTAGAGGTTGTTATGGACAATGTCAAATTGATCTGATTTTCCTTTTTTCACTCAGGCAGTGTGTTGAATGAATTGGAGGTCACGCAAACAGAAACACAAACACCATGAACTCCCAGGGCAGCTTTGGCAGCAGCTTTTTGTGTGAGTATTTCAGTACACCAGTAATGTTTCATTCCTATGTGTAGGCGATGTAGGTTAGGACATGATGCAGCAGGTTACATGTCTAAGCATGCTGATATTTTTTGAGTGTCTTCAGAATGGCATATAATGTGCTACATAGGTCTGGAGTGGCTTGTTATATCCTGTTGGGTGTTTGTTCAATGTTTGTTTGTGTGTGTATGTTGTAGTTCAGTCCATCAACGATGAACTGAGCGCATCTTTGGCCAACGCAGATGAGCTTTCACGTGAATTCAGCTCTCTCCTGTCAGATGCCACTCCTGTCGTGCAAACCACTACTTCAGAGGTACAGAATTATTGCCTTTAAAGGAGACCTATTATGCCCCTTTATACAATATGCAATATAAGTCTCAGGTGTCCCCAGAATGTGTCTATGAAGTTTCAGCTCAAGATACCCTACAGATCACTTATTATATCATTTTGAAAATGCCTATTTTGAATGGAAGCAGAAACATGCATGCATGTCTCTTTAAATGCAAATGGGCTGTTCCTTTACAGCTTGTTCTCTGCTAAAAAAACATCTGTTTGGTTTTGATTATCATGTCTATCGCACTGAGATCATGCGTTTTAAACCATATTAGTTTCAACTTCTAATATGCGGTTTTCTGAGCGCACACATTCGAAGCACACGCACAGAAAGCGGCTGTCACATGGCATGTGAGTACTAAACTAAGCTCTCTTTCATGTCTTATTGCGCTTAAACTGTCAGATATACACAAGCTACGAGAATACTTTTTGTGCGCAAAAGGGAAAAAAAACGACTTTATTCAACAATTCGTCTCCTCCGCATCACCCTGTAGCGCCATTTTGGAGAATATCTGTTGGACGTAAACAACGTATGCTGTTCTGTGTCAGCTGCGTCACGCCGGATCTGTTTCCTACGTTGTTGTGATTTGATCTGAACGGAAACAGCGTTTTTTTTTCTTTTTTCTTTTGCACACAAAAAGTATTCTCTGTTAATGTTCTTCACATTTTGAAAAAAATGTATCTTTTAAGAACTGTTTACTGAAAAGTTCTTTGGGAAACTCAAAATGGTTCTTCAATGGCATTCAAAAAACCCTCTTGGAAGCTTTATTTCTTATGAGTGTACAGTTGGATCCAAAGGTCTTTGGTTGGTAGTAAACTTCTGTGTTTGCTATAATGAAATTCTGTTTGCTTCTTTATTAAACAATGTAGAGCCTCTCAGTTTTGTTAATCATTTGTTTCCTCATCGTTTCTTCTATCTTCTTTGAGAAGAAGGAATGCAGAGGCAAAAGAACCCCCCTAAGTGGAATGAGACTGACCTGGATGCATCATACGAAAAAAAGCCTCACCACACCTATGACAGTGAGTTACACAATTTTAATGTTTTTTTTGATAGCAACATTAAAAAGAAAAACATTTTAAACTCATGCTGGATTGCATAAATTTGCATTATTCATTAGTTAACCTGGAGGCAAAAATGAAAAGAAATTATTAAAAGGCCCATTTCTGTTCTTCAAATATTTTCATTGAAATTCAGTGCCTATTTTATATTGTTATCAGAATAAAAAATGATAAAGAAACACATTTATTAAACTAATAAATAAACAGTGTATCAGACTTCACTTTGACTGCTACATGACAGAATTCTTAATTTGCTTAATGTTACATAAATGCTAAGTTTAAAAAAATATTTAAAATGGATAATGTAAAGAAAATCTAAATAAACATAAAGCATGATAAATTCTCTACAGTCTATTCCTCAGTCACTTGGTATTGCTTCTTTGTAGCAAACTAATTTAAAGGGGTCATATGACGTTGCTAAAAAGAACATTATTTGGTGTAATGCAATGTGTTTATGCGGTTTAAGGTTCAAAAAACACATTATTTTCCTCTATGCCTCGCCTTTCTGAAACGCATCGATTTTTACAAAGCTCATCGTTCTGAAAAGTGAGGTGTGCGCTGATTGGCCAGCTATCCAGTGCGTCGTGATTGGCCGAATACCTCAAGCGTGTGACAGAAATGTTACGCCCCTTACCATACTGTGAGGCCGTGTCCCGGCGCGATGAGACAAAACCAATAAAACCCATTATAAATGAGGCATTTGTTGCATCCAGTGGGGACATAATTACTGATTATAATGACTTGTACTGTCTTTTTATGCGTTGCATTGCGTATTGCGCCACATAAACATAAAACCATGTCTGCATTTGTGATCGGAGAAATGACAAACAACAAGCACTACTCTACACTGCTCAAAACTCGCGTTTAAATCATCAGTGGCAAATTCTTTAAATATGAAAACGTACTTGCAGTCTGAGAATCAGAGCAGCCGGCATGGTAGTCTACTCTTCCAGGTTCAGGAAACAGTCTGTTAACATGTTATTTCCTCCCTACTCTGTTCACATGGAAGAAGGTTCTTCTGGGTTAAAAATGACGTTAGCGCGTGCACTGGTTCAAAGGTGAGCGCAAAAGGGGGCGTTGTTGGAGAGGAACAGTGTTGAACCATGTTGCTTATGTGAGCGAGGTGATGAAAGGAATAAAGTGCGTTAACTGAATAAACGTCGTGTTTATTTGCTTTAACATGGTAGCAGAGGATGGTTGAAGGATGGCAGCTAGTTATAAAGTTCCGCCGAAATTTGATGAAACCAGGCCATACGAGTGTTGGAAAAATTAAGTTAATATCTGGACGCGGGTTACCGAACTCGACAAAAAGAAACAAGCCCTCGCTGTTGCCTTGGGGCTTGAGGGGAGAGCCTGTGAAACGGCGATGGAAATACCTGCGGAGGATTTAGACCGTGATAATGGTATGGCAACGCTGATGGCTAAGCTTGACGATGTGTTCCTAAAAGAGGAAAAGGATTGCGCATATGAAGGGTATTCTTATTTTGATGGAATAACGATGAATAGTTCGGTTTCCATGGCGGACTACATAATTGATTTCGAACAGCGATACAATCGGATGAAAAAGTATAATAATCGGATGAAAAAGTGTGACGCTGTGCTGGCTTTTAAGCTATTGGACACGGCCTGCCTCGACGAAAAAAACCAGACAGCTAGCACTGACGGCCTGCACAGAGTTGAAGTTTTCATCCATGAAGTCGGCTCTAAAACGGATTTTCGGAGGAAAAACGACAGGCTCGTCAAACTGAATACAAGTGAACCAGGACTTGGCATTTTTCACAGAACAAAGACCACAAGGAAGAGGAAAACGTAACGTAACGTGGCAAAGTGGACAACCAAAGCAGCCATTACCAGGGACTAATCCACTGGATAAATACGGTAAGAGATCCAGGTGTGCTATTTGCCAGTGCACATTTCATTGGGCTAAAGACTGTCCACACAAGAAAACCGAACAAGTAAGAATAACTGAAGATGCAAATATTGAGGAATGTAACATCACATTGTTTACAAAGGCCTCCATGTCAGATGCAGAGATATTCATGACTGAATCATTAGGATCAGCGATTATTGACACTGCATGTACACGTACTGTGTGTGGGGAGAAATGGCTGGAAAACTATATTGATGACCTCACTCAAGATCAAGTGAACCAGTTGATGCAAACAGAAACTTGCAGTTGCAGACCATTTCGCTTCGGAGATGGGAATTTGGTATATTCCACAAGAAATGTGAAATTACCAGCTAAAATAGGACTGACAAAATGCCTAGTTGAAACAGAAGTTGTCAAGGCTGACATTCCACTCCTGCTGAGTAAAACGTCACTGAAGAAAGCAGGGACCATTTTGGACATGGAAAAGGACAGTGCAGTGATGTTCAAACAATCTATTCCTCTTGAATTTACTAGTTCTGGACATTACTGTGTCGATATCAGAGACAAAGACACTAAAAAAGATCAAACTGAAGAGGAAGTTCTAACAGTGACAGAAAATATGTCTCCAGATGAGAAACGCAAAGTCCTTCTGAAGCTCCATAAACAGTTTGGTCACGCGTCGGCAGACAGGCTACAGAGGCTCATTCACAGTTCAGGAAATAAGGACAAAGAATGTTTTACTATTCTACAACAAATAGTATATGACAAAATATGACAAATATGCCAAAAGTACAAGAGGACAAACCAAAGCCTGCTGTGGGGTTGCCCATGGCTTCAGAATATAACGAGACAGTGGCAGTGGATCTACATGAGTTAGAACCAGGTGTATGGTATCTTCACATCATCGACCACTTTACACGTTTCAGCGCCGGAAACATTGTGAAAACAAAG